TCCTCCACTGATCATAAAAATGTCAAATGCATTGAGACAATGTCAAATGCACTATGCTGTATAAGAAACCCCCATGATCAAATCATACCCTTAAACTGGTGCTCAGATAGGTATTATAACATACCCACTCTATAACATGTGCTCTGATTGGTTATTCAGTGTGCTGGAAATGCACCAAAATAGCAATGGTGCAGGCTGACTATGTAATGAAGATTTTGTTAAACATAATTTTTTTTCTCAATCAACAAATTGTCATTCACTTTCATACTTCTGTTTTATATTGTCTTAAATATTTTTAAGTAATTAAAATTATTGAATAATTTAAATAATTAAAAGTATTGCTAAGATGATATTAATTATAGTCATGAGAGTTGTTACTTCCATTGCCAATAGGATGAACAGACAGTTCTAGCAGAAGATCTGAGGCTGTGTATTGTGAAAGCCAACTACGAGATGGAGAGAAGATTTTGTTTTGACATTGTATCACCTACTAAGTAAGTTCAGTGAGCTATTAGAGCAGTTTTCATAGTGGAAAATTCTGACACGGCATGACGACTGCGGTCTTGAAACATTAAGGCATACGTCAGGACCAATCACATTGTGCGAGAATTTACTCTCCATCCAATCAAATACAGTACCTAAAACATGGCATGAACACAGCACAGACATGAACGAGCTAAACCATGGTCATGGCACTGCTAGACCAATCACAGCTAATCAAAATTCTAGAAAACATCATTGTCACAGCAAGGCAAGCATACTGTACATGTATAGCACTGAGATTTTCACAGTCATACAAAATCTGCTCTATTACGAGGAGTAGGTAGTGATTTTAGCACTATGCTTAACAATAATTATTAATGGTTTTAGGGTGTGGTGTTTACAAGCTGATTCGGATCTCATAAGAGATGATTGGATAAATACACTGCAGGTATTTTTGTTATCATTTGTTTGCGTGTGGTGTATTTAAAAAAATAATTATGATAGACCTCTTTACCTTGGTTGCAATGTTTTCCTATTTCATGCCACCTATCATGAATTATTTCTTAGAGTATAGCTTTTTATTTTTTTGTTTGATGATGTATATGAGAATATAATTTAATTAATGGATATATTGATGAGAATATATATATTATTAAGATGCAACTGCAATTAACTCAAACAAAGAATCCCATACTCAGGGGAATGAAACATTATGCCCAATCTAGAAAAAGGGCTATTTGACTGGCTTACTTTATCAAAGCCAGTGATTGCAGCATCTATGATGTTAATGGTAGTATTCATTTGATGATGATGATGATGATTATAAAATCATTTAATGATGCTGCTGTTCATATTTTTGATGATGATGATGATGATGATGATTACTATAATTTATAATTATATTAGATTTTAACTTACAATTTTTGTTATTACAGGCCAGTATTAATAAAGCCTTCAATACTGCAGCTCCTGATTCTGAAAGTGAGGTCAGTGTTTATTTTAAATGTTACAATAATATCATTGCAAGKTGATTCAGTATTGTACGAGGTTACATTTAGACCAGGGAAAAGAAAGCAAGCTTAAGAGCAACTGGCTGCAAAAATCAAGTAGGGCAACAATTAAAAAATCGAATTCCTTTTTCCCCCAATAGAACCCCTTTGGCAAACTATTTTCAAAAATAACAATACAAAATTCAATAGCTTGGTAGGTCAACTGTATGTTTTATAAAAACTGTAATTTTTTAGAAATATTTTATGTACTTTGTTTAGGATGAAATGCTTAAACCTAACAAGAAAAGTAAAAGTATTGATTCTTTAGACATGGTAGCACCTCCTCCAAGGTTAGCAGGCGTGTATACGATATGTAGATTAACAAACTTGTGAGTTTTCATTATTTATTGTGGGTGGGAAAAGATACCAAATCGTGAATTTTTACCCCTAAGAGATACAACGAGCATCCCCGGTACTTTTTCCCTGGAGTCTCCACCCCCCCCCCCCGGGAACAAACATTTAACTGCTTCAGTGATTATTACTAATATTCCTTTCGGTTCAGTCGCGTAGGCTTGAGGCGGCCAATGACAACATTTTGAATTGACTGTATGATGCATAAGGTAACAGCCACCCCCCTAAAAATATCCTAGATCCACCAATGATGCATGGAGGAGTTGTCAAATGCATTTTGGTCTCAAAAATGATATGATAGACACTGACATGTGTCTTTTTGTTGCTGCAATGTGTAGTTGAATTAACTTCCTTAATTAAACAATATGATATAACTTTCTTTTTTTCAGCTATCCAAGCTTGTTCAGGCTCATTCCACATACTATCACCAAGGACATGACCTCATGAATGATCTGGAATCATACATGAAAGAACTGAATGATGAGGTACTGTAAAATACCTAGAGATACTGTATGCCATTAATAAATTATCTATTATAACATAGCTACATGTACTATACAACATATGCTCTGATTGTATCGGATCACAGTCAGCTACTTGAGACTTTGGGCCGCCTACTGCAAAACCTTTTGAAAGCTACATGTATGTGATTGTGGTTTTGGCGGTGGCGGCGGAGGCGGCGGTGGTGGCGGTGGTGATGGGGGTCGCAATGGTAATGATAGTGCTACTTATAATGGTGATGAAGATGATGATGATAGTACTAAATTAAATGAGAATGAAGCTATCGTCAAAGATCAAGGAGTATAATCAAAATTTATAATAACATTCTTAAATTATTCCTAGCTTGATGGATTATCTATTCAGTTTATGGTCGATAAGAAGGAAATGGAAGAACGACATACTCTAGTACAAAAAAGGGTGAGTTACTACAGTAACTAATATTACCTTTTTTATTCTTAACTAGGGGCTTTTATGCACCAAAGGGGCCAGGCCCTACCCCTTTCTCGGCAACAAAATGGCAGCTTCTTAAGATTGATACAATAATTTCCATGTTTATTTCACTTTTTTTCTAATAATTAAAATGTAAAATGTAATGCCAGTCTTTTTATGTTTTTTTTTCTTTTGTCTTGTACCTTTTTCCTTTTTTCTTTAGGGGAGGGGAGGGAAGTTCAGCATGTCAAAGGGGTCAAAGAAAATAGTGTTTTCATTGCATTTGCCCCCATCCCCTGGAAAATCCTGGCTATTCCCCTGTTTATCTTAGTGTGTTTCTTAGTGTGAAAGAAAGGAAAGCAAATAGGAAAAATAAAAATAAATAAAATGATAAATAGAGAGGAAGAAAAAATAGTTTATTTGCCCACATACATGTAATACCTTCATGTAGGAGCATTTAACATACTCAATTTTAATGCACACATGATGCAAAAAAATAGAAAAATAATAAAACATATTTAGAAAAAAAAGAAAAATAGAAATAAATAAAAAGCATGAGCAAGGGAAGGGAAATGGGAGAGAAAAAGAAATCATAAAGAAATATTTGGTACAAGAATTGAAGAAAAAAAAAAGAAAAAAGAGCAAAATATGTGAAATAGAAATGGAAAGTATGATAAAGAGAAAGAGAGAGAATCTTGAGAGAAAGGGGGAAAAATATTAAATAAAGAAACAATAGTCTTTAATAAAAGCTAAAAGTGATGATTAAATTTCCAGGATGCATCACAAAAATATGAAAAGACACCAGACCACCCTGGGTAAGTATTACTAAATAAATAATATTATAAATATCCATGAATATTTTGCTGCATGTCGATGGACTACACCAGCCTGTACTTTGATAATGCAGTGGCCATCTTGCCAGGGGCAGTAGACAAAAAAGAAAAATTTGAAGGAAAATAGAGATTTGTGTGTTTGTCTTTCTTTTCTGGGTAAAGGTGCTCGATGTGCTGTCTAAATTTATCTTCTATAATTATATTCTCTTGTGGTGAGCTCTTAACATCAATTTATTTATGTCTCTTTACTCTAAGAACGGTTTATTTTTCCCCTGGGTGTCCCATAATGCCTTGCGATTTAAGATGGCCACTGTATTGTCGAAGTAGTCAGTTTCACTGATACTATAATATTGGAAATCCTTAATTTCACTATTATTCAATTTCTAGAGAGGTGGTAATTGAAGGGTACTTGTTTAAAAGAAGCAGTAATGCCTTTAAGACTTGGCAAAGGTACATTAAATTAATGACGAGTGCTTTGAGCAATTAGTATATGTAATAGGACTCNGGGAGGAGGAGGCCTGTATACATGTAGAGTAATAAACTTGTGTTTTTTCAATAGTGGGTTACAGTATACAAAAAAATTGATTTTGGTATTTACCCACCCACCCCTCTCCCCTCAGATAATTGATGAACAGTTTCTTGATAGTCATAAAGTCATTCAGAGTGGAGTTYTGTCAAGAGTATTGCTCATAATTATTACTGCTGTAGTTTGGTGGACAATAATACAATKAATTAATAAATTACAGCTACTTATTAATTAACTATTATATTGAATGATTTATTATAATTAATAATTTCTTATGTTTTTGCTTTGATGAAGTATTCTAAATGCAGTAAGATCACTACCAGGAAATGAGACATGCGCTGACTGTGGACACCCTGGTATGAAGGAATATTATAGACTCTTTCATTATTACCTATTAGTATAATTATTTATTTTTAGTGCRCTGGGATATTGGTCACGCGACCAATGATTCTGAGACGATAATCAATGCTCAATTAAGAGGTTTTCCAAAGTTTGTTGAGAGCGGATTGAAGTAATTACCGAAACATTTTCCCCCCTGAATTTCGTCTTTTCTCTGATATTCAAGTTTAAAATCATACTAAAACAATTATTCCTCTCAGGCTCAATGATTAATAAATAGTTCTTAAAAAATTATGGTGATTCTTTAGTACCTTGCTGTTTGAAGACTCACAGCTCGGTAAATATTGACTGATAATCACTTTGCATTCAGTGAATAATAATTGTTAATTAATAATAGAATAGCTAGATACCATTTCTATCAGAATCCTAATCCTACTAATTCAGCAAATAGTAAATATTATAATAAATAATTTTCTAGATCCAAAATGGGCAAGTGTCAACCTTGGTATTGTTCTTTGTATAGAGTGTTCTGGCATACACAGGTATGAAAAAATACAATTTGGAAGATTATTAAAGATTATTAAACATTATTGGTCTTGATGTGATTATCTCATTACGACAAMAATCAGGAGGCAATGTAGTCTCCCCAACATGACRCTGAAAGCGGCTGTGGGGGAGACTAGATGCAATACCTTCTTACACCATATTAAATGCATTCTAGCACTTTTATTAATTTGTGATTAATTATAATTTTTTTCATTTATTTATTTTCTGTCCTAAGGAGTTTAGGTGTTCATGTGTCTAAAGTAAGATCTCTAACCCTAGATGCTTGGGAACCAGAACATCTCAAGGTACGGATATACACTTTAAGACTATTCCCAGCAACATTATTTCGGACCCTTAGGAGATTGAGGCACTGGGAACCCTGTGGATTGAGTAGGAATGGACTGGGAAAGACTTTTCTTTGTTCAGGACCAAACTAAAAATCTCAACCACAGGAACCCCAATCACTGATCTAAGAAATCTCAATTAAAGTTATTGAATAAAATATGTCATTTTAAGAAGATAGTCAGATTAATGTACGAAAAACAATATTTTTCTATGCACAGTTAATGTCGGAGCTTGGAAATTCATTGATCAACTCAATTTATGAAGCAAAAGCCGAAGCAAGCAAGAAGAAGATTAATCAGACCAGCAATAGGTAATTTCTTCAGATCAAAATATAACTGTTCTTGACTGAGTAGCCTGACTCTTATATGTGAAAACGCTTTTTGTGTTTCCACGTGACCATGGGGCTAGTCAGTCCAGAACAATTGTCATTCAAATTGGTCCCATATTCCGAAATATGCTTGGCGTGTCACACACAAACTTTAAGGTTTCAATGGGAGGCTTCGGCATAATACTCAGCCATTCGTGAAAGGAGAAAAGAATATTTAATTTCGCACATAGCCTCGTACTTAAACGTTTTCTGTGTGAGCATATCTTGGAATTGGACTATTGGTCCCATATTCAATTCGGCTTATGAAAATAATGATAACGTAAATTAGCCAGTTTTCCCAAATTAAAGACTWGATTAATAACTAGTAATTTATTTATAAGGGAATCCCTGGGAAGGTCATCATTACTAGGGGATGCAGTCTCTTGTGAGGTGTGGTCCTTTGAGGAAGTTTTGCTTTGAGGAACTTCCCTTGACAGGGGTTTCTATGTCAAAAGATGGTCTCCTGAAGCATTAGCATTGATTTCTAATAATAATGTAAAAATTAATGGGATTTAACAGTGGCATTTCCACAGAGTGGCTCTTCATCCACTGAAYTCCAATTGGAATTTAGAAGATGATTTTTGTGCAGGGAGGAAAACTGGRGAACCTGGAGAAAAACCCTYGAAGCTCAGGAGAGAGCCAACAAACAACTCTTCTCACATACGACACTGAGCTCGACGGGACTCACACATRGGTGGCACTGATAAGAGGCAAGCACACTCACTGATACAACACYCGTATGCTTCCCTGGTTTCTTGCAAAATGTTGCTGGATGTGAACTTACTGAATGTTGTGTGCTTGTCCTCATGATAARTTTTTTCATGGGGTGGTGAGGATGTGACTTGTTCATAATTCTAACTGAAAATCCTTGTATTTCAGGAGTGATCGTGAAGCATACATCAAAGCAAAGTATGTTCAACACAAATTCGTCTYTTTGGATACTTTCTTACGGACTTGCAATCGATTAGATGGTAGCATAATTAAAAATCTGGCTCGGATGAAAGTGTATCATGACCAAAAGAATGCTTCCAAYAAAACATCTCAAGGGATTGAAAGATCAGATTCTACTGTAAATAAGATTTTAAAGATGACACATGGGATTAAAAAGTCATTTAATAAAGCTGATAAACTGGAAAGAAAGAGAAGTAACTCGACAGATGTTACTAGTGATCACTCTAGCGGCGGCTTTGGTGGAAGCCCGAAAACAGAACCAAGAAAAAGAACCGAGAGTACCACTAAGTCTTCTGACAAGAAAAAAACAGGAATACTAAAAACCATATCAAAAGGGAAAAAGGATTTCGACTCTTTGTTAAATCGGAGAAAAAGTGATGCAACCTTGGAGAATGATGTTAGTAAAGCGAGCAGTAAAGCAAATGTGAAAACAACTCTTAARAATTCTGAGATTGAAAGGATTGCTCATGCAGATTCTAGTGAGAAACTAGATGAAATACATGTAGATGCTTTTGAATATGATCCTAGTAAAGAAAGTGCCAACACTACAGATGACTTGAACCTTTCTTCAGCAGCTGATTCAGAACTAAATCATTCTCAAGAGTYGTGCGGCAGTCCTTCAATTCCGCTTGCACGGCCGGAAACTTCAATTAGTGAGGATATAGGATCTGGAAGAGATTCACCAAGGACTTGGGCAACTAAAGTTCTAGCAGAACATTCGCTTGATGGGGATGATCAGCGTACCAAGTCAGAGTCAACGGATTCTGTTTTGAGTGATGAAGGTGTGGCTTCTGTGAGTAGTGAAGATACTCAGGGTGTTCAATCCCCTGATGATGATAGAGAAGATGCATTGTATCGAGATGATCTGGAGAAAGCAATTGAAGTACTTAAGATCTTACATCCAAATCAGGTAAGCTGCCGTCACCTTACTAACAGTACCACTGTTTTCATTGCTTGATTCCTTTTAAGATAGTAGATGTAGAGCTACTCTGTAGATATGCTTCAATAAATCGTTGTTATTATTATTATTATTATTATTATTATTATTATTACATACTGTATTAAGTCTTATCAAACTCATTAATAATTCATGCGGAAAACAGAACAGAAATCACAACCGTGAAGAGTGTTGTAAATCTGACACAAAACTCTGTTCATTTGCATAAACTTTTAAGTTGGATTTTCTTGGCTAAGTTCACTTAAATTTTGAAAATTTTAGTGAAACACAAAGGAACTAACCTAGACGTTTGATAAATCATATACAGTATTCGTGTCCGTGGTGTATCAGATATACAATCACGAGGCTACCCCTCGTGGTTGTATATCTGATACAACACGGCCAATCATACTGTATATATTACAAAACATGTTTATCAGCAGTTGTCTAAGTACTGTTGTTCAAATAGATTGTTAGAGTGTGAAAAGGTATATCCTGTAGGAACCAGACACTAGTAGATTTATTTGTTTGCTGATTACTGGCAGCAAGTACTTAATGAATTATATAGCAATTATTTTTTTAAACCCTGAAATAACTTTTGGGCTGATCATCCAGTCAGGGAATAGCTGACTCATAAAATATTGTAAGCACAACTTCAACGAAGCAAACAGCTTTGAAATTCCACGGACCTTCTCTGGATCACATAATATTAAAATATTCTACACAAAATCAAGGCAAACTCTTAGCAACGAAGAACTCAAAACTGGAGTATAAGGGATTTTGTTAGCCTCCTTTGCAGAAGGGGCCGTCCTTAAAACTAGGTTTTTGGGGGTACAGCTCGTGGGGTATAGTAATCCTTCTAGTATGTTTTTATTTGTCACAGTTTGAACAGGCCTCTACTGACCATTTTTCTTCTTCATCATCATAGCTCTTGTACAAAGCTGCAGAATGGAAAAGTATTCCTTTAATGGTGGCAGCCTTTGCAGAAGGTACTGGGTGTAAATAAGGAAGTTTCCAATGCATAATTAATTACAAATTAATTAATTCTAATAAATTTTAATTATTAAAATTAAAAATGATCAAAAGTAACTGCATAGCATTCACTTTGGTCTGAATAAGAGCCATTCAAAACTGGACATTTATTATTAAGAAATTTCAAATTAAAACACTAATTACGCTCTAACATTACTATAATTATATGAATCCTTCCAATAGAGACCTACCCACAGAATTATTGCAACAAATGTCTTTTGACTRTTCATTACCAGGTGCCAAAGCAAACTGGATCAACGAAGATGATGACAGTAAGCTGGTTCTTCATCAGTCAGTACTGGGTGGYTCGTTAACAGCAAGTGAATACCTTCTCCAAAATGGTGCTAAAATCGACCTTAGGGATGGCCGAGGAAGAAGTGCTCTACATTATGCAGCTCTGTTTGGCCAAACAGGGTGCGTAACATGTTGGCATA